GCCCGATTTCTCTATCTGTAAAAGTCATTGAGTTGACCTGAGATAATCTCCAAATTCCCTTCCAATTCAAATAGTCTAAGATACCATGTCTCATGGGTCCACTACCATCCACATGGGGTCTTGGAGATTCAAATCAATGTGGTACTCCTCTTGGGTCCCCAGGAGGCAGAAATGTTCCAGAGCAGACCCCAATTTTTCTCTACCAAAGACTATTTGTGCTATAGTATAAGGCCAGAACTTTGTGAGCCTATTATTGGGAATCCTTTATCTTGGCCTCATTTCTAGAATCTCATCAGCTTTACAAGGGGTCTTCATAGTAGCCAATGGTCTAGTATGTGTCCTGACCTCAAGAATCATGCTTGGAGCTACCATCAAAATGACCCAGTGAAGTAATCCTACATTCCCTATCTCCACTGACAAGGGAAGTATTTAACAGAATCTATCCTTCCTTTCTCTTTCAGTGCATCCCTGTATCAGAATAGGGTATTAGAAATTTATAGGATTATAGGAGGAAGTAGTCATAAAGAGAATCTATTTATATAAATCACTTCAAATGAAATGAAAATGCAGCATTAAGAAGAACTTAGCTTTAAGAATCAAACTCCAGTGAGTAATTCGAACAATCTTTTTAGTATGTTGCTTTACCTGGGTAATTCCACCGTGAAAACATAAGGTCAAGTTTTTCTTAATTTATTTTTTTAAAGATGGAGAATAGAAAATACGTTGGGAATTTAGCACTTGCTCTGCCAACATGTTACACACTAGAAATGGATTGGGACTTGGAAAAAGGGTAAGCAAAATGGTTGTGGTTTTGAAGATGGTTTTCCAGTTGAAATCATGTATTCCACTGAATACTGAAGGAGATCATTCCAAGGGACCATCAAACCATGGACTGACCAAGATTTTGTTATATAGCCACTGTGATGGTTGCCTCAGGCTGCCCTGGAAAGGGAACAGATTTGGGGTAGGTTCCAGAAGAGCTTTCTGATCTAGTTGAATTGGAACGTTAGCGTGGTGAAGTTTCCAGAGCAATCCTGGACTAAGGCATTGGGAATGAGAGTGAGGGCTTAATAATTTGTATGTTGCCAAACTAGAAACTGTTCTAGAAGAACAGGAGAAGGGATAAGTATATGGGTGAAGGGGGGGAAGTGGGGCAGGGTAATGAAATATTAATAGAAGCATTTCTGTCTCCTGATCCTAACTTTTAACACTCTTCTTCTTGATTTATAAGGATAAACATGCATGTTGTGTTCATGTACTATTAATAACACTGGCCATGCCTTATTTTTTTGTTATTGATCTTTTAATAATCAGACTAGAATGGGATAATTTACACAAAGATAATGTCCTTATTTTAATTATAACTTATCAAATAGTTGATAACAATCTTCACTTAAAAGTTTCCAAACTATTGGATCAAAGACCTAAATATAAGAGTTGAAAGTAAAAAATTTTGGGAAGAAAACATAAGAGTAAATCTTCATGATATTGAATTTGGCAGTAGCTTATTAGATACTATACCAAAAGCACAAGCAACAGAAGAAATAATAGATAAGTTGGACATTATAAAAATTTAAAAAATTTGTCCATAAAAGGACACTATTAAGAAAGTGAAAAGATAACCCACAAAATGGAAGACAATATTCTCAAACTATGTATGTCTGATAAGGGTCTAGTATGCAGAATATGTCAAGAACTCTTACACTTCTCTAACTAAAAGGTAAACAAACCAATTTAAAAATGGGCAAAGGATTTGAATAGACACTTCTCCAAACAAGATATACAAACAGCCAACAAGCACATGAAAAGATGCTCACGTCATTAGTCATTACTAAAAAAAACTCACTGCAGTCGAGTTGGATCCAACTCATAGCAACCCCTCCTTAGGTTTCCAAGGTGGTATCACTATGGAGGTAGATGGTCCAACCTTCCTTCCAAGGAGTGGCTGGTGGGTTTGAATCACCAGCCTTCTGGTTAGCAGTCAAATGGCTTAGATACTGTGCCACCAGAGCTCCCCATTAGTTATTAAAAAACAAACCAAACTCTCTGCTGTCGAGTTAGATCTGACTCATAGTGACCCCCTCCTTGGGTTTCCGAGGTGGTATCTCTATGGAAGTAGATTGCCCAATCTTCCGAGGAGTGGATGGTAGGTTTGAACTGCCAGCCTTCTGGTTAGCAGTCAAATGCCTTAAATCACAATATTATACCACATCACACTCACAGAATGGCCATAATAACAATACAGATAATAACAAGTTAATGCAGATGTGGAGAAATTAGAACCTTCATATATTACTGATGAGAATGTAAAATGTTCAGCTGCTATGGAAAACCATTTGAAAGTTCCTCAATGAGTTAAACACAATTACCATATATAACGCAGCAATTCTACTTGTACATATATCACCAAAAGAATTGAAAACAAGTGTTCAAACAAAAATTTTTACACTTCATGGGAGCACTATCACAATAGCCAAAGGTGGAAGCCACCCAAATGTCTCGCAACTGATAAATACCACAAAAGGTGGTATATCCACACAGGGAAATACTAGTTAGCCATGTAAAGGGATGGCATGCAGATACATTCTACAACATGGAAACATTATGCTAAGTGAAAGAGGCCAGACACAAATGACCATGTACTGTATGATTTCATTTATGTCTAGAATAGGCAAATCCATAGAGACAGAAAGTAGATTAATGGTGGCCAAAGGTTAAGACGAGGGAAAAATGGGGAGTGACTGCCTGATGGGTATACGATTTCCACTTGAGATGATGAAAGATTTCTGCAACTAAATAGTGGTGATGTTTGCATAACATTGTGCATGTACTTAATGTCACTAAACTGGATACTTTAAAATAGTAAATTTTATGTTATATGGATTTTATTTATACATATACACAAAATCCCAGATTATATAAAAGAAATACTGGGAATACCTTTGACAAACAGATAAGCTCATGTTTGCTGAGTGAGTGAGTGGGTGTATTTCTAGTATAGCCCTTGAGATTGGAGAAAGCTTCTAGGGCAGAAAATATACCAGAATGAGAATCAGGAGTCCTGTGTTTTGGTCTAGGCTCTGTTACTGTTCAACCTTGGCAAGTCATGTAGATTTTCTGGGTTCCAGTAGGGATACTTGGACAAAATCCTTATTTCTAGGTATGGGAAATTTCAATCATGTGTGAAACTCTTTCAAGTCTCATGTATCTTTCTTCACCTTGCGGAATATCTCAAACAATGTTCTACTAGGAAAGGAGTGGCATAAACTAAAGGAGGAAAGACAGGGTTTTATTATTTAAAAGGCTTTTTACTATTTGAGACTTTTACTATTCAAAAGTCCCAGACCTGATTCTGCTAGGTTTCACATTCTTGAGAACTATAGGCAAAGAGCTCATTCATTTTTTCACACGTTGATGGGTGCTATCAAGTCAGCTCTGACTCATATCGACTCTGTGTACAACAGAAAGAAACACTACCCCATCCTGTGCCATCCTCATAATCCTTGCTATCCTTGAGCCCATTGTGGCAGCCACTGTGTCAATCTATCTTGAGGGTTTTCAGCTTTTTTGCTGACCCTTTATGTTAATCCACTAACAAATATTACACACATATAATGCTTGGGTGAAGCACAGGCCTGAAAGACACAGAACTCTTGAAGTTAAGGAGTGAATGCTCTAGAGGGGGTAGATAGATATTATTGAAGAGTTCATTACTGAATTATAATTGTGGTGAGTGAAGAAGTAAAGGGTGCTGTGTGAAAATACTCTCAGGCCAAGGAAGACTGTTCTGAGGAAGTAATGCTTCAGTTGTAATCTGAAGGATGAATTGGAATTAACTAGGAAAACTGGCAAAGATACAGGGAGCATTCTTGGTTATGGGAGAATTGTGAGGAGGAAAGGAATGTGGGTTTGAAGAAGAGATGGTGAAGGAAGGTCTCACTCTGGGATGATACACTGAGTTGTGATCAACATCCTTGAATTATAGGGCCAGGAAAAGTTATCTCTGTGAGACTAGAAGTAGACACTTCTACCTGCAAACACTACTTATGTGCACCATAAAACCACCTTCTGAGCTCTGGTCTACATAACAAGCAATAACTAAATGGCATCTCTGGTACTTAAAATGCTCTCCAGAGCTGGTGTGACCTGAAGCCACCAAACCTCTGTGCCTCTATACATCCCCACAGAAGTGGACTGCAGTGTGGACAACAAAGCAGGTGGCTCTGAAGTATGATACCCAGGACACTGTATGAAATGTGAGAGGCTCGCTCTTTTTTTTTTTTTTTGTTTCTGTTTTCTTCCCACAAAACCAGTGAACTTAGCCTTTGAAGAGTATAGAACTATCAGGCTTCTACTTAAGCTATCACAACTATTTCCCACTTCAGGCCCATTGTACATATTCTGTGGGTAAACTGGATTGGGAAGCTGGGTCTACTTTTGCAACAGAGGCCATGGTGGCCACACTTTGATAGAATTCATACCTGCAGGCCATGGTTTGTGCTTAGAGTCAGTATGGCTGGGAAGACCCAGAATAGAACATCTGGGGCGTGTGTGGGTTCAGGCTAACCTGTCCAAAGTGCATCAGTGGTGGGGTAAGAAGTAGCAGTGGCTGTGATGGTAGACAGAATGGGAACCTGAATCCATCGAGTCAGATCTGACTCATAGTGACCCCTCCTGGAGTTTCTGAGGCAATATCTCTACAGAAGTAGATTGCCCAATCTCCTTCCGAGGAGTAGCTGGTGGGTTTGAACTGCCAGCCTTCTGGTTAGCAGTCAAATGTCGTAGGCACTACGTCACCAGAGCTCCCCAGACTATCCCAGCAGTGACAGATTCCACTAAGGGAAGAGGTTATCAGGAAGTCCCAGTGTAGCATTCTGTCAGTCTAGAACTCCCTTAAGTTGTTTCCCTCTAACTTGGAAGCTAACCTGTTTTCATCTGTATTCTCTTTGTAACCATAAATCTATCCTATCAGGCTTAAAATGTTTTTTCTTTGCTTTCAGGAGAGTAGAACTGGAGAAACCAACAGTTGTGTTGAAGAAATAATTCGGGTAAGGATTTTCTTTTTGACTTTTTAACTCATTGTGAATGCAGCATACCTCAGAGATTTGAAGGTTCGGTTGCAGGCCACCACAGTAAAATGAGTTACATCAATATTTTTGGTTCCCCACTGCATATAAGTTATGTTTATACTATACTGTAGTTTGTTAAGTATGTGGTTGCATTATGAAAAAGTTGGAAATATTGTGAGGATTACCAACATATGACACAGACATGAAGTGAGCATAGGCTCTTAGAAAAATGGAGCCAGTAGACTTGCTAGACGCAGGGTTGCTACAAACCTTCAATTATATTTTAAAAAAACAAAACAAAACAAAACAACTCCCAATCTGCAGAACTAACTCAGTAAAGCTAAGTGCAATAAAATGAAGTATGCCAGTACATTATAAAAATGAACCATTGTTTGTTGCTTAATGTTTACCTTTGCAGAGGGTAATCACCTGAGTTGCCTAAATGCCACTTTACAAAACAGTGCTTCTTTTTGAAATCTCAGAGACAGCCATTTGAGCCACAACCTATCCTGGGGTCTTTGCACAGGCTGAGGTGACATTGTATTAAATTGAAAGACAGAAGAAAAGAATTTAGATGAAAAATATGGCTGTGTTCACATTTGGCTATCCCCATTTATCACCCTAGCATCCTTTAATGATTTGCACTTTGTGAGTCAGGTAGAGGTTGCTTTATTTTTCTCCTAAACTTAATTAGAATCAGGAGCACTCTGGCCCAGGGCTTTGAACCAGTTCATTCTGGTTCACCCTCCTGCTGAGAATTTGCCTTTCTACTCCTCGGAAGGAAGGTTGGGCAATCCTACTTCCGTAGTGATACTGCCTCGGAAACCCAAGGAGGGGTCGCTATGAGTCAGGGCTGACTCGACGGCACATAACAACAACAACAACAACAACCCCAGATATACTGAATCATAATCTACATTTTAACAAAATCTCCACGTGATTCTTATGTATACATTCTGATTCAGTATATCTGGGGTGGAAATGCAAATTCTCAGTAGGGGGGGTCAAACCAGAATGAACTTGTTCTAAGCCCTTCTCTGGCAAGGAGAGACTGCTCAGTGTCTGAATATTTATGTCTCTATTGGTTTGCATATTAGAGGGGACATAACAACAACATGTTCCCTGTTACTCTCTGTATGCCTGCCCTTACCATCCCCTGCATTTCTTACCTGCATTCCTTCTGTGAACCAGTTTCACACTCAAATTGAGTTAGGTTGGGCTGTTCTGCCAGGTTGGCATTCAAACTTATAATCAGGGTATCATCTCCAATTCATATTTCTTCTTCACTCATATTTTCCTAATAAGTTACATTTCTCAGAAAGTTGACATTACACTGGGCAAAACACCAAAACAAATTAGACCAGATGGTATGGCAGTTTGCTGTAAAGATTGAAGAAACAAAAAAAAACTTTAATATGTTCCTAACTTTTCAACATCCTATATACACTTTTTCTTGAATTACTACTGAATTACAGTAATCTAATTGCTTGGTTTAAAATTTTACATTAACAATCAGACTGTTTTCAAAGGATCTTTTAAAATTTTTTTCCTTTTTGTTATTTTGTTAAATAAATCTTTTAACTCTCAAGTTGATCATAATAATTAATTGAAGTTTTATTTGTTAAATCCATAATGATTTTTTTTTTCCCCTGGCAAAGGTTTACTTAGAACATAATTGTCAAAGCAGATGGATTCAGTTCTGGCATTTAAGTATATGTTAAATAAGTATTGTATTCTGTATCTGTTGTTGTTGTTATGTGCGGTCAAGTCGGACCTGACTCATGGCGACCACTCCTTGGGTTTCTGAGGCAATATCACTATGGAAGTAGATTGCCCAACCTTCCTTCCAAGGAGTGGCTGATGGGTTTGAACCGCCAGCCTTCTGGTTAGCAGTCAAGTACCTTAGGCACTATGCTACCAGAGCTCCTATTTTGTATCTATCATCTCTTTTTTAGGGTTTTGCTTCAGATTAGACAACAGATAATATAAGATGCTTATATAATGTAGTCTTTTTTTTTTTTTTTAATTTAAACATTCTTTTATGTTAGGGCCCCAAACATTCCATTTTTAAGCCATCTTCCTTTGATTAATAATGGTCTTTTTGTCTGCAAAAGGATAATATTAGAACACATCCTACCTCTTTCTGGTTTTCATGTTTAGAAAAATCCTACTCATCTTACCCTTCCTTGGCTCTTTTAAGGATATGGAAAAAATCTGTCATTTGACTTTTCTGTTCCTCCTCCAAGGAAAGCTTCAAGTTTGAATAAGAGGTTGAGTGATATCCACACCAAAAGGATATAATATATTTAGTAAAGTAAAATTTAGGTAAAGTGAAACTGACTGTCAAGTGTCAAGAGTTTGTAGCCTTATTATTATTACTGTGATTTTCTTAAAAGAGCTCTGAAGTATGATACCCTGGGCCCTGTATGATCTTTTAGAGGCTGTTTGTTCTTTTGGTCTTTCTGTTTTCTTCCCATCAAACCAGAGAACCTAGGCTCTGAGGACTATGGAAGTACCAGACTTTCACTTAAGCAGTCACAGTGTTTCCTCTCATTAGGCTCCAATTCCTCAACCTACTCCTACCTCCTACATAACTCCTAATAACCTTGCACCTCTGGTGTGTCCACTGTCACAACCCACCTCAAATTAAAACTCAGGTTGGGCAGGCGTGGGATAAGAGGGAGAACAGGGACCAATGAGATAAATGATTTAGATGCACAGGCAAAGTTACAGTTTTGATCCAAGTGCCAGATAGCAGTGGGGATGCTATTATAAAAGAACTGAGCCCTTCACACTCTACTCTTCCTCGAGAAGGTAATCCCTGATGGGAGCTAGTATACATTGGGAGGAAGCAGTGGTCATGGTGGTGCTACTAGTATCACACTGAGCCTTTTATTCCCTCTCCCCACTTCTCAGCCAAAGGTGTTATTAATAGTAGTTGGTACTTGGGGAGCTCCTAGAATTCCTAACTTTGCCTGGAGATTTTATGGCTATTCCCTGCCTGACTCACATCACTCGTCTCCAAGATCACCTTCCTTTTATCCTAAGCATGGCTTTTGCTTCAAACACAAGCATAGAGCTCCTTCTCTGGTAAAAACAAAAAAAAAAAAACAAAAAAACCAAACTCACTGCTGTAGACTTGATTGACTCATAGCAACCCCTCCTTGGGTTTCTGAGGCGTTATCACTAGGGAAGTAGATTGCCCATTCTTCCTTCCAAGGAGTAGCTGGTGGATTTGAACCACCAGTCTTCTGGTTAGCAGTCAAATGCCTTAGGCATTATGCCATCAGAGCTCCCTTCCTTCTCTGTTATAGCTTGTTATATTTGTTGCATATCTGTCACATGTCAGTATTCCTCTCAAACTGTGGCCCTAATGACTGGAAATTAGAAGTTCACAATTTTGTTGAATGAATAAATACATGAGACTGAAAAATCCTGTTAAGAAGGATGATAATTATCATTTGGATGATTTGCAAACAAATTCCATTTGCTACAAATCATGGACATGATGTATTGGTCATTTTAGTGCCAGCTTTCTGTGTATAGTCTTCATGGAATGTAATTTTCTTTGTTAATTTTATCTCCCCTTATATCTACCTCAGAGAAACCTGATGTGGTCAGGGACACCAGAGGAACTTGGTACTTGCAGTCATAGTGTTGAAAGTGTGACTTTCTCTTGTTGTAGAGAAAGGGGAGGGTCATTAAAAACACCTTAAAATGATTACTAAAACTTAGGTGTTCATTTAACACAAGTATTAGAATGTCTTTTCTGTGTGGGAGGTATTGGGAGTACAGTGGTAAGCCAAACAGAAATTATCTCTTGCCCTGTTGTAACTGACAGTCTGATAGAAGAGGTAGTCAGTTTTTTAAAATAACAAATGTATAATGTTGATATAAGTACTCAGGATGTTATAAGAGCTTACTGTAGGGTATATGCCCTATATCTTATTTTGGGGTCAAGAACAGCTTCTCTGAGGAAGTGACATTTGAACTGGTACTTGGAGGATGATAGGAATCAACCAGGTAAGGGAGAAGAATGGTGAGAGTTCCAGGCAGAGGACATGGCTGTTGGAGGCTCAGAAAGAAAGACAGTGAAGGCCACAGTGGCTAGAGGACAGGCAGAAAAGGGTAGGCTGGAGAAGTAGTGAGGAGCCAGTTAATGCTGTGCCTTCTAAGCCACATTCAAGATCTTACAAGCACTGGGGAGCCTAATGAAGGATTTTGAATAGGGAATGATTAGGTTGACAATTGGAATGTACCACTTTGGCTGCTGTGGAAAAAGAATGGGGGAGAGGGCAATGGAAAGAGGGGAATAATGGGAGGAGCTGGAGTGGGTGAAGGCTGTTATAGGAGCCTACATGAGAGATGAATGGTGGTCCCCTCACCAAGATAGGAGACTTTTGGGGAGGTGCTAAATTTGGGAGGGAGGGCAGAAAATAATAAATCAATTTTTGGACATTTTGAATTTGAAGTGCTTTTGAAAGTTTCAAGTAAACATGGAAAGCATGGGTAACTACATGGCTGTGGAGCTCAGAGCAGAGGTGTGAGATGCAGACCAACATTTTAAACTAATCAACTTGTAATTGGTTTTAAAAAAAAACTGAAATGAGTAAATTTGCCTGGGGGTGAGACCAGAGACCAAGAAGCAATGGGATACTAAATGCCAACGTTTTTTAAAGGTCAGGGAGAGGAGGATCTACTGGCAAAGGAAAGTGACAGGGAGTGGCTAGAGAAATTAAGGGAAAATTATGAAAATGAAAAGTCATAGGCTCTAAGGAAAGACCATTTCAAGGTCAACAGTGTTATATGTTTCTGAGAGGGCAAGAAAGATGAGGAGCAAAACCATCCAATGGATTTGGAACAGCACGGTCACAGGTGACCTTATGAAGAGCTGTTTCTGGGAAGCAGATGGGGCAGGATCCAAATGACAGAACTCATATGTGAGTTCAAAGACCTCTTGTGAGGAAAGGCTGGCATTT